ATCTTGAAATTATAGATGGAAAATTTTATATAGTAATTCATGTGAAAAAGGACAGGGTGCAAGCCGAATTTTAAAATTACACAAGTAAAAAAGTTATTAAAGATTGAACATACTCCTCACAAACTTTGTTAAACATATTAAAGTATAATATACATTTTTATTTTATAATTATTAACATAATAATACCTATACCTATAATACTTAAGTCCTTCTTAGATAATTGTTATTAAAATTTTTTATAGAAGATAGTTGATTATCAAATTAAAATCATTTTGGATATATATTTTTTAGGGGTGTAATACTACTTTTTAGAGGTCGATCCGATCCGATATTCCCGATATTAAATTGATATCTGCCGATTACCGATCCTATATCATATCTAATTTTGTATTCTGTAAAGATAACAATGGTTTTAATTTTTAATATACTTTTTATTAGTATAACATCTATAATTTAACTATACCATAACTTATGTCGTATAAATATATTTATAATGATCAGTTTTAGTTTATATTCAATTCAATTACAATTCTAAAAGTATATAAAATATTTTTATTGTAAAATCACTTAATAAGTAATAACATTAATCTATATACATATTAAGTAATAAACAATTATATTATGAAATTTGAAATAAATTTTAAAATAATATTTAGCATTAATATAGCGAAGATTTCTTTTTAGTAATACCAATATTTCCAATTTATCAGAGGTCAGCTTGCGGCGATATTAACTGTCAATATCACCAGCTCACTAAAAACAGATTCTGAAGAGATTATCGCATACTTTTATAAAGAGAATGCGCAAAAAAATAACAATATGGTAGAATGTTTATTAATTAAATATTATTATTAAAAAAATATACATAAAAATGGATTTCGATTTTATTTATAAAAATAAATGATTTTAGATATAACTATTTTTTTTCATTTTATAACATTTTATTTTTGTTAAAGAAGCCATTTTTATATCGGACCAAATTTTATAAAATTGACCTATAACCTATATTTTAAAATGGGTAAAATATCGGTCCGAATTGATCAGATAAAAAATATCTGCACATCCCTAATATATTTTATATTTAATTATTTTAGCAAGTTCTTATTAAAGGAAATATTTAAGCTACAATTGATATATAATATTAGATAATTTTAAAAGGCTCTTAATAAAATAATTATAATAAGGTAGAATTTAACTTTATTAGTTACTTTTATTATTTATGATATAAATAAAATTACATTATAGTATTTATTTACAAAATTTAATTAATTTAAAATGCATTAAAGAAAATTGCTATGTAATTGACAATTAAATAATATAATGTTGTACATTATTTTCATATTTTTTATATATAATTAATAATTTTGCAAGAAATATATAAAAAAAATATGAAAAAAGATTTAAAATATATTTATATACTATATATGATATTACAAATGCAAGAATTAATAAGTCATATTAGAAAATAAAACTAAATAAAAAATACATAAATATCACAAACAAGTAATGATAAATACTTTTTAAAGATAATGAATAAAATAAAACTAGTATATTTTTTTAAAGATGCCATTTATCCATATACTCCGAATATAAGCTATATTTAAAACAACACAGAAGATAACCTGCAAATTCTAATAAATCATTTGATTAAATTTTTTTTCTTATTTGCACATTTTTAACTCCCATTAAATATACTACTCTCCCTTCCCTGTTTAAGCTATTAATGGGCAAAAATTAATATTATTAATCCCTGGTTATTATGATTAATTCATCAATAAATATTTTATTAATTATTGCAAATATTCATTCTTATATGTATATGCTATATTCTTCACAAATAAATAATAAAAACTGTATTTTATGAACTATTCTAATTTAATTGGTTATGATAATTTAAAAGTATCTTGTATTTAAGATACTCTAATTTAGTAAAAGATACAAGTATCTTTTATCTTGTATCTTTTTAATATTTTGAAAAAGATACTAGTATCTGTAACTAAGATTCATTTTTTTAAAAAGAATCTGTATCTAGATTCTTTTTCCGGAGGACCTGCCCAACTCTGTTCATACCTATAATTACCAACACCTTAAATGCGTTTGTTTTTAAATGAAAGTCAAATTTTGATTAATTTTAATTTTATCTCATTTTATAATTTTAGCTTAATTATAAATAAAAAGAAATAATATTCATGTAATTAAAATATTTGAGATATTTAAAATTAGGGAAATATAAAAATAATTTTCGGTTTTCACTTATTATGATATTGTATAAATTTTTTGGGGAGGGGGGGGGAGTGGTGGTTGGATAGTGTGTAGGGGGGAATTTTTATGAGCAGCGTTTGCGAGAAGAGGCAAACTTGCGATAGGGGAGGGCGGGAAGCCCCCCTCTGGTTGCACTGTGCCTGCTAGTAAGTGATTTTTTGGTATATCATTAAAAAAAAAATTTTAATTTTTCCTTATCTTCTAAATTTTATTATTAATTTGTTTTTAATATAAGTGATACAGCATCTACATGAACGGGAGGGGTAGGAACAGTATGCATCCTATTTTTTTGAAGGGGTAGGCTGCTTTAATGGGAGTCTGACCTTAAAATATACATTTTGCGAAAAAATTGGGGAGTTATCTATTAAATTTTGAGATCAAATAGGACAAAATTTATTGCTGTAAAAATTAATACTTTTATTATAGAATTATTATAATACAATTCATCGACCAGATCTATATAAACAATCTTACACATTGTTTTCCAAATAAAACTTTCTGCTATCCTTTGTAATGTAATTTAAAAAGATATTTCAAAAGGTGAAAATAATAATAGGAAGACACCTCCGCCGAAGGCGGCGAGAATTTTTAGGGGGGTAGGCAAAGGTTTTTGAAGGGGGTTAGTTTCCAGTAAAAATCCTGTCATGTAGACGCTGAAGTGATATATGAAACTAAAAAGCATTACATTTATATAAAAAGGGAATAAAAAATTTTCGAACCAAAAGAATCATAAGATAATTGGGTTCCTAAAAATGAACGATGGTTGAATTTACTAGCAAATTAAAGGCCAATTTCTTTAAACACTAATTCTGATACAAGTTTAAAATCTATTTTAGATATTATCTACACTATTGAAAATATTGGTAGTAAAATAGAAATAAACTTTTGGTTTTCACAATTCTATAAAAAGAATTGTAAAATTTTACATCTCAAAATAAAACACATAAAAGAATCTTAAGAAAGAAATGAAATTAAAATCGAATATAAACCGTAACCATTATCTTTGTAGCATAATCATAAGCTAACCACTAAGGCGGTTCACGGGTTTGATACTAGGGCTTATGAACCGCTTAGTTATTTAAAAACTAAAAATACTTGGCAACTTCAGTTCTCAGTATCAGTAGCCTATTTTATCAAATGTAGTGGGTTTGGTGTCTAATAAAATATAGTATTTCTTATAATTAAACATAGATCAACCCATATCTTTATAACATAGCAATAAACTAATTATTGAAGCGGTTCACGGACTTAGTATTGGAACTTACCCGGAATCACATAGTTTGGTAAAAACTAAAAGATTCTTATTGGCTGAAAGTCTTTTAGATTTTAATGCAATTGGTCTAGGTCTAATCAATTTAAATTTCTCATAATCTTAAATAAACGCTGTCATATATTTAAAATATATGAAGGTGACGCATGGAAAAGAAAGACCTTTGAAAGAATTTTTTGAAACACACATCCTTTCAATTTTATTATCAATTAGTTAAAATATATAATTTTTTACATTTTTGTTTTTGGAGGAAATTGAAATATATAGAAGTTATAATTTAAAAAATATACAATAAAAATATTTTGATATTGAAATTAACTACATATAATCAGGGCGTTACACGCCATTACACTCTCAAAATCCTATAAGATATTTTCAAAATATATTTTCAAAATTACCTTTTTTTAAACTAACATTATCAAAATTATATTATATATATATATTCCAAAAATTAAAAATTTTCAGGGGGCTTATCACATGCGCCCCCCCCCCCTAGTGAGGCTACTGTATGTTAGAGTAAATGACATGTGATATTGGTTAATTTAATAAATAAATTAACATAATTTTAAAAAATATTTAATTGAGTCCACATCAATTTTTCACTTCCAAAATTGTACTAAGCCAGGATTGAGCTTGGGTAAAAATGGTATTCTTGTTACAATAATAACGAAAGGAAGCATCATATATCTTTAATAATGATAGCTGAAATAAGGTTTAAGGTTTAAATGCGTAGTTCAATAAAATCAAAAAAACAGCTCTAAGATATCTGGTTTTATATCATAATTAAATTAATATAAACATAAAAACTTTGCAAATTATTTATCACAAATTTATTTGTATTACCATCTAATAAAATTCTAATTAAATGCATATCTTAATTCATTATAATAAAACATGTATTATAAAATATGTATTATAAAACATGTATTATAAAACATGTATTATAATACATATATTAAATGCCTGGCATGTTTTATATCATTACATTTATTAATGTAAATTTAATAATATAAATATATAAATTTATTTCGTAATTTAAGTATTTTAGTATTGACTTTTTTTTAGAATTCTTATCCATTAAATATTCAATTTGCTTATTCTATTTGTATAGGCTATTTGAAAGTGTTTAGTCCTGTAAGTACTTCATATACTTTTTAATTTTAATAAGTAAATAATATTAGCTTCAACGTAACATTGATTTGGAATATAGTACCTTTTGCACAAGTTATATATTAAAATATAAAAAATCAGCTGTATCATAATAATAATGTGTTGTTTGGAAGTAAAATATTTTGAAAAAAATGTATCTCTAATCGCTTTGAAAATACGTTTCATTTTATTTTGCATATTTTTCGACTAAGATAAACTTATACAGCTTATTAAGATTTTGCACTCAACAGGTTTACCTTACTTAACGCTTATTATTTAAAACATTCTTATTTTAAAAACAGCAATCCTTGAATCCCAATCGGCGCAATATTTGAAAATGGAATCTCTTAATAGCTCTAAATATTCATTCGAGACATCGTATAAAAGGTATTAAACATATAATTGGAAAACTTTAAATAAAAATATTTGTCCCTTTTTAGTATCAATTATGTATTTTAATTATTTTTTAAAAATTCTTATTTTATTTTAATGTTTTATATATCGTTTTATACAAATTCATTTATTTTTTTTAGCCCCTCAGAAAATGCCATGTACAATAATGACAATTCAAGTAATTATGCTTTGATTTTTAATTAGTTATATTTATAAGTGATCAATCTATATGGTAAAAGTGTAGCAAAATCAATCAAGCAGTATGAAAAAGTAAACCAATAACTTATCTAATTTAAAAAAATTTTTAATATAATTACATAATTAGTTAATACGATATTTTATATTTCTTTAAATGTTTGCCTTAAAGTAAATACAATTTTTAAAAGTATTTTAAAATTAATTGTAAGTTAGGGTCATTAGTTTTTAATATTTTACCAACCCTTGACTAGTTCAAGTTCCTATCTTGATGATAAATAAAATTATATTAGCCCCTGATTGTAGATAATATAAAGCCTAATAGTAGAAATTTCAGAAATTATAATAATATTTTGGTATAAAATCTTTTATATTTGTTGTAAATAAACAAATTTAAAACTCAATAAGTTTTTCAGTAATATCTTAATTGATTTTGAAAGAGATATGATAGAGAGCACACTATATTTTAATATAAATGTAAATCAGATTAGACCTGAACACTGATGTATTATTTTATTTCTGTGCATTTGTAATTTTATACTAGTGGCATAAGTATGTGCTAATAAAACAATACAAAACACTCTAAATTTGTTTATATATTATTGGCAAAAAAATTAAAAAGTAAATCCATCTTTATTACATACCAAAAAAAATATGAATTGAAACATTCATAAAATATTTTAATGCAAAATATCTTTAACAAAGGATGAATTGATTCATCTACATAAAATTTGTAACAACAAGATTGAAAAACTTTATATTATTTATTTTAAAATAAAGGAATACTATAATGGATACATAAATGCTCTTTACACAAATTTATTTCAGAAAATATATCATTTATAAATATGATTATCCATATCTGGAGAAAATTAAAGATCTTTTTGAATTTAATATCAAACCAACAACAGAAATTTCAGCTTGTCCATCAACTTTGGCTTGCTGTCCTAATAGATCATATTATAGCTAACATTGTAAGAAATTAAATGATATTGATAGTATAAGTTTTAATATATTATAAATATTTATATACAAATTTTATGTTCTATTTAAAGATATTTATAAAAAGGGTAGGTGTAACTAAACTGAGAATAGATAGGCAAAATTTATTTTTATTTTATAGCCTATCAATTATATTTTAAATATATAAATAAAATAGAATATGGAAGAAAAAGTAGTCCATAAATTTTTAATATGTATAGAACAGATATATTATAAAGAGAATAGGGCTGTGCTGATCCACATATATTCCAGCAATCCAATATTTTCTTATTGGTTCAATACCGATCCAATATTTAAACTGATTTTTCACCACCCAAACCAAATGTGAAATCAAAATTTTTTATGCTGAATTATGTATTTAAAAAAAATTATATTATAATAGATAAAAAAAATATATTTAATAATATATCCATTTTATGTTGGTATGAATTATAAAATCGTAATATTTAATATATAAAATTATAATATATTAGATTTTTTTAATAAATATGAGAGCCTCTAGATTTTCTGGCAATAAGCTTCTACGATGTTGACTATCTATATCCACTGCCATACTGTAGGCAGACTCAGATGGGACACTTGTTGCGAAAGGTGCCATAAATACATACAAGTTTTAACAAAGTTGTATACTTTTCAGCATTAATTCTCCAATATTGAATCAATGTTATTCAAGTTATCTAAATAAAGAACACAAATATAAAATTAGCATTTATAAAATAGTGGGCTTCATACTTACCCAATCTTTTGTCGATAAACAAATGGGTCAATCATAACCCAACCAAGCAATAATGTTTACAGATATTGGTAGTATAAAATGAAGATATCACATTTTGCAATTATCTTTATCTTTTGTAAAATCCATAATTCAGATACATTATTGAAAAGAATTCTTTTATTTAAATTATAAATAATAAAATAGGCGTTATTATTTAAAAAGATTTAAAATAAATAAAACTTTGGGTGTTCCTTTCTATATATAAAAACTTTTAAAATACTGTAAATCTATTTTAAAAAATAAATAAAATTTAGGAGGTGTTGTGCATTTGCAATTGGAAAAAAAATTATTTAGAAAATATTTTAATAATGTAAAATAAATGTACATAAAATTATAATTATGTAAAATAAATATACATAACATGAAAAATATCAAAAAAAAAGAGAAAGTAATCAGATCAATTTACACGTATAGGCCCGATCCAATATTTTTAGAAAACGTTAAATCACATCCGGTCTGATATTTAATATTGGCACACCACTAATAGAGAAAATAACACACATCAAAAAAATTTAAAATCATAAATAAATTTCTGTTAGATGGCGTAATAAATTTAAAATTAATTTTAAATCATAATTTTTTGCTCTGGATTAATTTATTTGGTACAAACTTATATATCATAAAATAATAAAAAGTTCCCATCATTATTTTTGGGTATAATGACCATTCTCAGTTTAGTCTTTTTTTTATATTTTTGGGTTTTAAAAAAAATATTATTTTTATTGACTCCTGTGTAAATTAACTTATATATTAAAACGAAAAAAATTTGAAGTTTCCATCATTTTTTTTGAAGTTATGATATTTATTCTCAGTTTAGTCATTTTTTTTGGATTTTAAAAAATATATTATTTTTTGACTCAGCTAACTTATATAAACATAAAAAAAACTAATTTGGAGTTTTAAATAATATTTTTTGACTCATTTTGTGTAAACTAACTTATATAAACATAAAACGAAAAAAATTGAAGTTTCCATCATTTGACAATAAATATATCTTTAAATCAATTAGAAATAGCAATATTCCACAAATATTATTAAATATAATTTTATAAAAAGAATTAAGATAATAGAGACTCATTATAAATATTCATAAAAAGATTAGAAGGCCTCTTTCTTGCACATATCTTGACTTTATAAAATTATCAAAATAATGTTTATTTATATATTTTTTTTATCTATTTTATTGTATATTTATATTTTAAAATATTTAAATCATTCTATAAATATTAGACCTATTCAAAAACGCATCGAATCGAATAGTGCATTATTCATATTCGATTCGTTTAAACGAATCAAATAATTTACTATTCGTATTCATACGAATAATAAAATCTACTATTTGTATTCGATTAGAATTATTCGAATAATTGAAATTAATTTTCTTAATAAAATATATCATACTCAAATATATTGACAATTTTTTTATTGCAAATTTGATTTCAAACAGCTAATAAATATCAAGCTAACATCCTTGTCTATTATAAGATGGTAAATATAGCTATCTTAAAAGCAATTAATAAAATTATACAATTTGTATTTAGAATTCTGCACAATTTTTATTATTTATATCGATGTCCGATTTGGGTATTATACATAGTATAAATGTTGGAATGACTGTAGATGGGATTTTTGGCGGAGATGGATTCGCGCTAAATGCATCCCTAGATTATCTTCGAAAATGATGAAAGATTGGGCAGGTTGTAAGTAGTTTTATATGCTTTTTATATTATAACATTGATGATGCTTTACCAAGATTAATAAAAATAGAAATATCAATTGTGTATTGGAAATTCATTATAAAATTTATGAAAAATATTTACAAAACAAACTAATAGGTAGGGAAGACATTTCACTTAAAATAATAGAAGCGTTTCAACCCAAAATTTTATGTCAATACTCCCCGAGATCAGCTATCAGCGATGGTAACTGTTTTATCACTGTCTTTAACTATTTATGGACATGAAGATGGGCATTTATATATTCGCCTTCTAACAGGCATTGAAATAATAATAAAACCATAATTGTAGAGCAAATCGTTTCGTCCAATTATATAAAAATTTTACGTGATGTTTTAAATATAAATGGATTTTCCCACCTCTTGCATCTTTATGCAACGAACGCAGCTTTAAAACTACCATTAATGTCTTATTGCCCATCAGGTGTTTGGATAGGATATAGTCAATATACATAAGTTATAAAAGGACATGATGTTAAAGTATCTTCGAAGTCTGATATTAATATCAAATGGACTTGCATGATATGCCCAAAAGATTTCGCTGCATTTTTTCCAAATTATTTTTGCTCTTTGTAAAAGAAGAATCATCATCTAAATTTGTATATATAGATTTGGAAATTCCAGTAAAATCTCAATCTATTATCTCTTTCTAGAACACCTCATTTTATAACACTTTCCCATTCTCCACCTTCAGATCATATTTATAAACTGGGAAATAAAAACAAATCTCCATCTAGAATATTTTCAATTAAAACACCTCTCACTCTAGAGCATTTCCTCTTTCTGGATTACCTTTTCCATCTAATGATCTGAAGGTGGAGAATGTGAAAGTGCTAAAGAATTAGGTGTTTTATAAGCAGATAGTTTTATAGATTGAGATTTTACTCGATTTTCCAAATCTATATATACAAATTTGGATGATGATGTCTTCTTTTGCAAATAGCAAAAATGATTTGAAAAAAGGCAGCGAAATTTTTTGGGCATATCATGCAGGCTATTGTTACTTGCAACTATTGTTGCATTTAAAAAATTATAAAAAAAGTAAAATTTTCATTTTTTAAAGAACGCATGTTGTTTTTTTTACCATTAACAATATTTATTTATTTCAAAATAATTTTTTTTTTATTTATAAATAAATATATTTTTTTTCATAAGTAAAAATTATTTTAGGTTATAACAAGATGGAACTCTAGAATGATATTGAGACTCTTCATAAGCAAATATTTTTATTAAGCTATAAATATGTTTTTTTCCTAATTAATTAAAATTTTCATGTTTAATCTAATTTTCACAATATAATATGTCTACACTAAAAATAGATAATAGCAGAAGAATTCCATGAAAATGACCAAATAAACAACTCAAAACTTAGATAAATAGATTATATCTTAATTCTTTTTATACTATAGGCATTACAATAAACTGGATAAATTGAGACTCTTTTTAAGCAAATATTTATTTCTTTTTCATAACATTTGTATTTTAAATATGATTACACTATTTAAATATATTATTATAATAAAAATAGATACAATTATAATAATTTTGAATGCAATTTGTGAAATGACAAGGTTTTAGGTAATTGTAATTGATCCTGTATGGGTAGTTCTATATTCTCTTTGGATAATTGTAGATTTTCTTTGGGTAGTTCTAGATTCTCTTTGGATAATTGTAGATTTTCTTGATTCGTGATATATCCTGCATTATAGAAAGATCGATTTACGTCATTTTTTTCACTGGACTATTGAAGGGTTAATAAAATTAAAACCTTTTGATTTGGATGGTTTGACCTTGCCCTCATAACATTGGTAATAAAGTCGTTCTTACATTATTGTAGACTTAAGTATTGGGTCCTTCGATTTTTTAGAACGGTGTATTGAATAATTTGTCGCATTAGAAATTTCGTATTTATTTAGCCATTCTTTTAAAATGAAGAATAACGAATATCTAACATTTACTACAAAAGGTATGTAATAATAATAAATAATATTATTTACCTGCAAGAGTTGTATCTATCTCATAATTTCCAGTAGGGCTTGATTCGATCATAGGAGAGACTAATACCATAAATAAATATTTGGCTTAAAAAAATATATTTTTTACCTGCAATAGTATCTATTTCACAATTTCCAGTAGGGTTTAATTCGATCATCTAATTTTTGAAAAAAAATATATTTAATTCGATCATCTAATTTATGAAAAAAAATATATTTATTTATAAATAAAAAAAAAATTATTTTGAAATAAATATTGTTAATGGTAAAAAAAAACAACATGCGTTCTTTAAAAAATGAAAATTTTACTTTTTTTATAATTTTTTAAATGCAACAATAGTTGCAAGTAACAATAGCCTATCATGCAAGTCCACATGATATTAATATCAGTCATCGAAAATGCTTTAACATCATATCCTTTTATAACTTTGGTGTATCGACTATATCCTATCCCAACACCTGGTGGACAATAAGACATGAATGGTAGTTTTAAAGCTGCGTTCGTTGCATAAAGATGCAAGAGCTGGGAAAATTCATTTATATCTAAAACACGTAAAATTTTTATATAATTGGCCAAAACAATTTGCTCTTCAATTATGGTTTTATTATTATTATAAATAGAAGACGAATATATAAATGCTCATCTTCGTGTCCATAAATAGCTAATGACATAGAGCGATAGAAACAGTTACCATCGCCGATAGCCAATCTCCGGGAGTATTGGCATAAAATTTGGGATTGAAACGCTTCTATTATTTTTAATAAAATAATGTCTTCATTACTTATTAATTTGTTTTTTAAATATTTTTCATAAACTTTATATGAATTTCCAATATACAATTGATATTGCTATTTTTAATTAATCTTGATAAAGCATCTATGAACATAAAAAGCATATAAAACTTTCCTTACAGCCTGCCCAATCTTTCATCATTTTCGAAGATTATCTATGGAATCATTTAGCGAGAATTTCTTCCCAAAAAATCGCGAAAAATCCCAGCTACAGTCATTCAACAATTAGACTACATATATTACACAAATCGGACATCGATATAACCAATAAAAATTGTACAATATAAATATTTTATTAAGGCATTTAAGATAGCTATACTTAACAGATTTATCACCTTATAATGGACAAAGATGTTAGCTTGATATTTATAGAATGATTTAAATATTTTAAATTATAAATATACAATTAACTCAATTTTAAAATAATTAAAACATTTATTGATAATTTTTTAAAGTTTACATATAAAATCTATTATAGGATAAGGTTGTAACAGTTGCGTTGGCATACCCCGCCCCCTCCCATTCCCCCTTAAAAAATAAATAAAATTTTTTTTATTCAATTATACTTATGACATACAAAAAATTGATTTGGATTTAAGGGAAGCTATGAATAGAGCAAAGATATTTTTGAAATATTAACATATATCAGAGAATGTGGATGAAAAATTTCATGTGAGAAAGTAAAGGAGTTTGCTAATATGTTTGGGATTAAAATTTTTAAACCTCGGTAGTTTCTAGCAAATATTGATGCATCTACGATTGAGGATTTTTATATAATGGACATTTTTATTCCCCTTATTATACATTTTTATTTCAATAAAGGAAAGATTTATTAATCATGATTTTATTTTAAAAAGCTTTTATTTTCCTTTGCTGGTTGAGTCTAAATTGTTGATTACACTGAAACAGGAAAAAATATTAAGAAAATCTCTAAGCTACTTTGTGATGTCAAATTTTGGTATAAAAATCTTGAAAGAATAGAGTTCTTTGAGACCAAAAAATGCTCTGCAGGTCCTTGGTTCAACTTGTCCCTATATTAATTAAAATGTTTCGATAATTATAGATTTTCTCGTGAGATACAAGTATAATCATATTAGTTAAAGATAAAATATAAAAATCTTAAAAAAATTGCCTGTTATTGAATTGAGAAAATAATAACATACACTATGACAATGTATACTAAATATAAGATGTATGTATATATAATATTTGATATTTAAATTAATGTATTTGTTTTATAATATTTAAAAAATATATTTATAATTATAATAATTGTAATCAAAATTTGAAACACTAAAATATTAATTCAGAGATAAATCCTTTTTTATTGTGCAATAATAATTTTTTTTATTTAAAATACAAGGTTAATTTAATTTGCATTTAAAAGCATTTTAAAAAATACTATAAGCAATTTTACTTAATCCATTTGCGATGAACTCTGAACTTTTTCAAAAATAAATTATTATTATTTAATTAAAACCTCTTATTCTGAACATCACTTATATTTTGCATTCGTTATTAAGTTTTTCGCGTTTCAATATTATTCATAATTCATGTGCGACTTATTGTATACAGCAAAACATACCAATGATATATGTCTTCATGGTTAAATTTGAAGTTATTCATTTGTATACATTTTTTTGCACTTGTGCCCTTTATTGTGGTAGTCACCACCGTTCAGATCATTACATGCGCTGCTCCATAACATGAAGTTATATCCCTCTAATATTTTGCGTCATTGTTCAAAAAAGAATTTCTTACCAATTTTTCTCTTATATTTTTCACAAATATGTCCTTCCTGTCTGAAGTTAGTACATATTAAAAAAGATGGATGCTTACAAGTTCATGGACCTCCTTCAGTCAGATGTACACATTCAGGCTATGCTCCACTGTCTCATATCAGTCAATCGATTATTCTTCCAGAAATTTTGTTCCCACCCTTCTCAATTCAAATTCCTGCTTCTCATATTTTTTTTCTTGACCATTCCAAACAAATATCATTTAAAGGATCCCCAAAGGTGCAAGATTGCTATTTGCAAAATCTTTCGTTGATTGTCTATCCTCCCTATTGCTAAACTTTAGCAATGAGTATGAATGGATAAAATTCCTTTTCTATGGATACCTTCAGAGTGCCCGACAATACTTCACATAAATCTTTTACCCAGCAAATTAAGGAGACTGCATCCATTGTTGCCCCTCACCTCTATGAATACATGATGTATTTACTTGTCAAAACAAAAGAAAACCCTCACTGATTGAGATGAAGGCCAATTTGATCTGCAAGAAAATTGACAATCTCAACATAAAAGGTGCACATGATTGGTTCCCACACATGACTCTTGCCGAGCCTTCCAATGATACATATATTAAGCTCTGTCAAAAACACCCTACTGCAACCATTATCCCAATATCCCAACAACCTCACTCAACATGTTACTTCTGAAGAAATGAGGGAGGGAAACGTTCCTTTCATCAAGATTCTGCCCATGGTCTTGATGGCATCCGCTCTATATTCCAGGACATCACTTCCCCTTCAATATGCTCACCAACTCCCATTTTTACTAAAATAAATTTTCAAGTGTTGCACTTTCTAAATACAAAGTTTCTGAGTTCGTGAGTTCTCCTTCTGCTCTTATCGGCAACGTCGTCATTGGTGCAAACCTTGGCATAACCCCGATCATAGGCGTTGATAACGGATGTTCAACAGGTTCTATCATATGCTCCTTAGTACCCCCTTTAGTTAACCTATAAGCTCTCCGGTTTTGAATAGGCCCAATATTGACCAGGCATTGTAATACTATGTCTTAGCAGGTGTGCCCTATGGAACAACCATCATAGCATGATGATGGTCATTTTCTGCGCCCATCGTCGTATAAGAAATGGAACTTCGCATAGGGATTCCATCGTCTGAAGATGAGCCCTAAAAGAGTCTCAATAATTTGTGTCTTAAAATAAAGAATACTTTCCAGTCTCCGCAATTTATGTCTTAAAATAAAATATAGAATACTTTCCGGTGGCAACAATGATAACGTTGTCTAAAATCTAGGATTAGCCATTCCAAAAAAAGGATTTATTTTCCTTTTTCTAACAATTCACCTCATATATTATACCAATATAAGAAGCAAACAATTAACCCTTTATATTTTTTTTTTCATAACTTCGATTATCCCATATTTTAGGAATTACGCGAATACCAGCAACAAAACGTGGACTTGAAGTTTCAAGTTCACGATATGAAACAATTAATTCAGGTTTATATTTGCTTTTCACGAAAAAAATATTTTTATGTTTTTTTTAGGAATCATGCAGAATAGATCCAAAACTTATATCTCTATTCTCCAAATTGAACCAAAAGTATATACCTTTTTTCTTTTTTTTGTGAGGATTATAATTTGTAAAAAATAATAATAAATTAAGGTATGCTATTCACGACATTATATCAAACGAAAATTCGCATCAAGCCTTATCACAACAAGATACGCAAGAGGTAAAAACAAATTATTTTTTGAAAAATATGTTTAAATTGCAGGTAATTAATTTTAAAGTTAATTTTATGCAACCTCAAATTTATGTTTCTCTAATATTATTATTTTTTTTAAAAAAAAAGAAAGCTTCAAAAAATAATAAATATAAAGATTCGATCGTTATGCCTTTTTTGAAACACTTTTTTTCAATCAATTTAGCATGATATGAGGTCGCACTTTGTCTTAGAATAAATTACTGAATTTGAAAAAGGGCACGAATGACTAATGAATAGAGGCTATTATTAACAATTATTTATTGTTTTAAAATTTTATTTATAACTAAAAAAAATGTAAATTAAATTTTTTATTTACTTTTTTTTTGATATGGCTGTATCTAAAACCAAAAAGAATTAAATTTACAAACTTTCGAAAATAAGGAAGATAAATAAATATGATATATAGTTTTAAATAGATATTTAAAATAAAATGATTAGGCAAACTAATATTATAATATTTTAGTCAAAATTAGTTCTATAGCAATTTGGCTCGATATTGGTTAATTGAATTTAAGACTATTGAGATAGATGTTTTAGAGAATTACTTTACCTTCCCCAGATCCTTCTTTGGATCCAGCAAGTTTTTTTAAAATAGCCCGTTCTTTGCCAAGTAGTCACAACACAAAAAATATTTTTAAAAGGAATAAAACATTGATTAATGTTAAAATTTATTATACTATTAGAATTTAAAAAATATCTGTATATATCTTTATTGAAATTAAATGTATAAGAGTGCTCGTAATTTTTTTTATAAATCAGTGCCAGAACTGGGGCCCTCTAATCTAATGGTCTCAAGTTTTATACATTCAGTTATAAGTTGGGAAAAAATATCCTATTTATTTAATAAAGGCAAAAATCGATTAATCATATCATTTTTCCATTATTAGACCTTGCAACTCCCCAAAATAATGCACGATGCCATGACAGCAATTTCGCCATCATTTTGTCAACAAAGTAAAATTATTTTTTAAATTATAATTTTAAAGAAGATATTAAGAATTCAAAAATAAATAAAAAAATTTTGAATTAATTTAATAATGAATGTCTAAATTCAAAAAAAAAATCAATCATCATTTCTGGCCATTAAAATATATTTTATACAAATTGTTGGCCTGGTCCTTTCTAATTTTTTATATAGGAAAACGAAATCTGCATAATTATCGGCTTTAAACTTGTACATTCGGCCTAAAAATATTTTTCTCCAACCTCTTAGATAACCTCTCTTGATAAAGTTATTTGCAAACATCAAAGTTAGCTCACCTCTCTAACCTATAATCATGTCTGCTTGAGAACATTTATGGCATGCTAGAAGGAGTCACCAGAAGCTCCTCTTGCCCGACTCTCACGACCAACAAAGCCTTTTTGCAACAGTTCTATCCCTCCAGAATTCTACATTCTATAAAAAGATAATGGTCAATGGTTATCATAGAGGCGCGATCGCGATTTTAGCTGCGATAAATACAACAGCGACTTGAATCGCAATAGCTGCCGCGATTTTTTAAAAATACAAATCATTTTGTATTTTTGGCGTGATTTTGTAATATTGATTCGTTAAATACTGGTGAATATAGCACAAAATATTTTACATGCTAATTTTAAATTATTTGAAATGAATTCAAAATCCATGGCTACATTTTTTGAAGATATAAAACCAATGAATCAAGTTAAAATTATAATTTTTTATAGAAGATAGATAAAAGTGCTTTTATTCCTTTAGTTATAAAAATATTTTATATAAAAATAAAATATGGAGTATATTATCACAAGTGTGGTGTGCCTTGTAAAAACTGTGCATATATATTATTATATTTATATACCCTTTTAGTATCCTTTCTTTAATCTCTTTGGAAAATTTTTAGAGATTGTTTCATGAGAGAGCAAGCTGAACAAACTTGAAAGTGGGTCAGGGGCTGGTCATCACATCTCATGGCCATACTATCAGGATATGCTATCTGGTAGAAGCTGTAACACCAAGGTTACAAAAGTCCTCTTTTCTTTAGATATGGATGGAGAATGTATTCCAATAGATTTAAATGAGATGTTTAATGAATAAAATATAGCATTTGAATTTGTAATATATTTATTATTTAGCTGATCTCATTGATAGGGACAATTTATTGGATGATATAATTTCCCAAAGGTCCTGCATTAATTAAGTTTAGTACTGAGTTTGGTAATTAATAATATCCAATTATTTATATTGAAAAATCTGTGTATTCTGTAGAATCTCCTAGTTCACATTATAAATGTCCTAAGAGAACATCTAATGACATTGGTAATTTATATTTATTATCTGCTTTATAGAAAAATTTATAATAAAAGAATTTAATACACTTATAAAATTTAAACAATAGGAAAGTATACTAAACATAGAGTTGTTTAAAAATAAAAAAACCTAAATATGGCATATATATTATGATGATAAGTGTATCTTTATAACATTATAATACAAAAATATTGATGAATAACCGCAAAGGAAAAAAAATTCCACTACTTTTGCCCAAAAAAAATACAAGGACTAAATTGTTATTATTCACAATAAGAATAAACTTAAATTTCACCCTTAAAAAACGAATCTTTTACATGACTAACTTTAACAAATTATAATTTCATCCAAAAAATAAAATATTACAGGCTTAAATAAAATAACGATCTTCATTGTTAAATAAAATAATTACATAATTTTTACAAATCACAACAAAGGTAATGCAAGCGAGGAATCCATGTCTCAGTTTACAATTGTTGATTCTACCACCTTAGGTTTTTCACAAGAACCCGTCCCTCGTGATGATAAATTTTTAAAGCTCTTGCATGCAGCTAACTTACTACAAACCCACCTTAAAATAATAGTGGATTATTATATTAAGATGCTTGAGCAGAATAAATCGTCAACAACCTTCAACTCTCTTAACACTTGCTCCTTTGACCGGGAGGAGTCCTATGGTGATCGTTCCTTTCAAATCGAAATGCCTGTAAATAATTAAAGTCTTTTTTTTATAAAATACTTATTTTTTTTAAACAGAATTTTGATAGCCTGAACTTAATCTTGGAAGAAGCATCCGATATTATCCAGGACAGTTTTTCTTATGCTAACCAATACATAGATTCAAACAAAACTCCTTGCGATGTCAATCAACACAATGAATATCAAGTGCAGCAAATTGACGTTGACACGGATAACAGTTTAAAAACTTTCTTAAAAAAATTTGCCCTATACTATATTTAATTTAATTTCTATTAGATCAAAAAGATTACGTTTCCCAGATTAATTTTTGGAAGCAACAAGTTATAAGCCTGAACCAAGACAATAAAGATTTATATGCTCTGATGACCCAGGTCAAGATGAGCTCAGAAGAAAAGATGGCCCAATGTAATTCACAAGAAGCTATTCGCAATGGGGATGCATTAACCAAATCTATGATCGAAGATGTCGATCATAGGTGGAAACTAAAAACGTCTGCATTAATGTAAGCTTGCCATTTTTCAACTATATTTTAATCCAATACTTTTTGAAAGAACAGAAAAAAGAAATAATCTTTTTAAAAAAATTTTAATGTTAAAAAAAGAAATCAATATGAACAAAGAATCAGTGAGTTACTGCAAGAGATGCAGAATTTTGAGCATATCAACAAAAAGTTGTCAGAAGACTTACAATTTAATATTGCAGCCCAAAATAAACTAGAGAATGATATCCAGGTAGGACAAGAAAATGTCTTGAAAATTAACCCTGACAATCATAAAACATCTTATAAATATCTGAAGTAAAAACCAATATTTTATTATGGCTAGTTAATGCATTCTTTTTTTTTAAAAAAATACTATTAATATGATTTTCCCTTAAAGCATGAATCGGGAAAATAAAAGCCTGAAAAACAAGATAGCAGTATTAGAGATGTACATATCGCGGAATGACAAAGCGAAAGTGGAATCCGTTCACGATAGTAAAGTAGTGGTGCCTACATGTGACGATCTAAAATCATTGCAGCAAATATCAATATCTACTGATCAAGATGGGTCAGTTGATTCCAATATATCGGCTAGTCATGGCACACCCAAGGTTAAATTATATAAAATAAGGTTCTCACAATAAATTGAAAATATTTCACATTTATCCCCGAAATATAAAATAATATTGATAATAAAATTGGTAGATGTTAGGAAATAAAATACTTATATTTCAATTGAGTTATTTTAGAGATTTTTAAGAATATATATTTAAAATTTTACTTCATTTTTTAGCGATTTCGAACCTTATGCAATAATGATATTAAACTTAGCTAAATTTATATCTAAATATTTTATGTTGCTTTTATTTTAGGCTAAAAGTTTAACTGAATTTAGCATTTCTTCGCCTCCAAATGAGGACAGTTCGGAAGAACCTTCAGAAATTGCTGTCCAAAAAATGGTCAAATCTAATTCATATAACAACCCAAAAATCGCCAATGAAAATAATTTAAAAATAGTTAAAAGTATTACGATTTTAATATTAAAAAAACATATTTTATTTCGATATTTATGAATTTAGATTAGAAAATATTATCATTTTTTTAACCTCAGTATAGTAATACCTTGCAAATAAAGAGTTAATACTTAAGGAAATCCAACCCGGCCAGGAAATTCTTCAAAATAAATCATATTGACATATAGTTTTAATCAAATTATGCGATATCTATATTTTAATCAGAAACAGTCAATATTATTTTGCTAAAAACGAATACTATTGAAAAAAAACTGTTAAAACAAATTCAAGAAATTTTTTTACTAATAATTAAATGATAAATGTGAATATTTTTTTTATTCAATTTCTATTGGGGTAATTTTAATCAAATTATTTTTTTATTACTCTTTTGTTAACTCAAAATTTTTTTAAAAAAAAAGATAAACATAATATGACATGGCCTTCGAAAGATTTATCGTCTCAGCTGGTTAATTTTAAATGTTGCCCCTGTTTTACGAGTAATTTAGCATTCTTTATTTCGGGTAACTTATATATTACAAAAATAGCTGAAGAATCTTCCTTACACGATGTCGAAGTTCTAATTATTAATGCCACATGTTATGAAAATTTTACCAAACACTACAGTGAAATAAGAAACCTGACTATTAAACAGGTTTACTTTATTATTTTTTAAAATTTTATTTTCATAAATAAATCGTTTTGATTTTAATATGTCAAGAATAAGCCATTGTCCGCTTTCTCATTATCGTTGATGAAATACATGGCAAAATGTGAATTGGCCTTATACGCCCAACCCATTTGGAGGGGAGAATTTAAATCACTCGTATCTTATATCAAATCTCAAGTTATTGAGGAAGTATGTATCATTTTATTGAATGTATATTTGTAAGGGTGTCTATACAGTTTTTTGCGGACTGATCGTTCATATAGGTCATTTGTCAATATAAACTCAACCAATTGAAAAATATTTTCTCCTCTACGAGATATTTTAGAAACGACAACAAATTGACAAATCTTTAGATTTTAAATCGTTTTTATCCACCTAACCATTTTTATATTGGACCAGCCAATTTAAAAAAAATTTTGATGCATCTGGTTATAAGTAGGTTAGCTTTTTTATATATAATCTTTAGCTTTTTGAGTAGGATTCAAGCCATTTGATGAAAAGCCTGATTCGGGACGATTTTAAAAAATGACTCGATTAATATTATCAAGCCTAAAGATAATGCTCATAGCTGTCAGAAATGCTTGGACATCTCTGCCAAATTTCGATGCTTATATTATATTATTTTAGCTAAAATCTTAATCGGGCCATTTTGAAAAATTGGGATAATAATCAACAGATACATTTTTTTTAAAAATATGCTCCAACCTATTATTTACAGTCAAAAGCGAACGTTTTATTATGAATTTTTTAATATATTTTTTGTTTCACAAGCCCTAATAGTGGGTTGAGAATATAATATATTATTTTTTTACAGAATCTTAAACTCAAAGAGACAATATCCGAAATTACCGATAAACTTCGTAAATCGAAAGCTAGAAAAAATAATTTAGAAAGGGGTATCATGAAGCAAATTGGTCACACAAATAAATTATTATCTAATGTTCATATTTCATAAAAATTTATTTTTTTAAATAAAATGTGCGCGTAAAATTAATTTTAACATTTTTTTAAAATAAATATTATAGTATTTATAATTATATTTAGAAATCAAATTTTATAAATAACCTATTTTATGTATGATAATATAATAGAGTAATTTTTTATGAAAGAATGAATTATATCAAAAATGCAATAAATAGTAAACCAGTTTTTTTTGGCACTTTCAACATTGATTATTTTTTTTCTAGTCTCCATTTCCACAAAATATTTTTTGATTTGTAATATAAGCCATAAAAAATGCCTTTCAATATTAGTGAAACTTGTAGTCGGGATTTTTTTTTACTGTATATCTGTTTATAATAAATATGGTTCTGCAAAATTTTAAAAAATTAACAATTCTTTGTTTCTTATTCTGTTTAGAAATTAGTAGGTCAATTTTTTTTTCTTATCAATTCATTTACTTTTTAAACAAATTATCATTTTCTTCATCATCACGAGCTGAGGCGTTAAACACTATATTTATTTTATTAAATTCGTGCTTAGTTTACCGGGATTCGTATTTTAGTCGCACCCAAAAGCAATAACTCATAATCAATATTCAATAATAAATTAAATTATAATTAACAAACAATGTCTGAGATTTCAAATCATTTCCTTAGTCTCATATTTAAAAAAACTCATTTAAAAATCGGACAAAATATTGTCTGGGGTATACAGTGAATAATTAAAGTATATGACTTTAAATTAGTATTAAAGTATATAATCTAAATAAGATTCAAAAAAAGCATAGAAGATTTTTTGATGTATTGTTTTGCTTGCAGACAAAGGGAATGGTTTTCAAGCTTGATCTTTTATCTGTAGAAGAATATTCATAATTTAAATTGTCGAATGTATAAAATTTATTATTTTCTAATCATTTCTTATAAGTAGGGCTTCAAACAACAAGACTATTTCTAAAAAAAAAATTTGTTTATAATAGATAAATATATAAATTTTCTAAAATGATCAGAAGATGAATAATAATTAGTCTTTTTTTAAAGGTTTATCTTAAATATATATCTTCATATAATTATTATATGGTTTTTTAGGACCTGTTTACAAGCCGTTTGGTGTTATTTATCTTTTAAAAATGTTACATTAAAGTAGAGTATATCTATGCCATTTTGAGGTTTATTTGATTCAAGGGTTTGAATTATAGATATTTATAAAATATTAGATTTTTTTATATTTAAATCAAATTTTTTTACTTAAACTAGACAGACTATGGATTTAAGAATAAAAATGTTATACCGTTTTATTTATGAGAGATCTATATTTAGATGAATAAATTAATAAAAAGTAAATTATAAACCTTTTACTAGGTCTCATTATAAAACACAAAAAGATTTTTCCATGGTTACAGACACCGGAAAACATGCTGAAGATGAAGAACTATTATAAATATTGAATCTGGAGATTTATGATAAGGTAACAAATATTAAATATTTTAAAAATAATCAACTTGCCTTGTATCAGATCCTTGTGAAGGTTGACAATACACTAGCAAATATTATTCAAGCTTATTTAAGTCAATCGCTAATCAAATACTGAAAATTTGCGTAGAAACCTAGATAAATATCGACAAAAAAATATTAAATATCAGCCTCAGAAGATCTTCTAAAGTTACTAATTTAAATCAAAATCTTTGGATGTATCGCAAAAAAATTATCAAACACATCAAATGAGTCAAATATATGATGATAAACGATTCGAGATTTAAAAAAGACTGAATCAAGATTTTAGCCAAGATATTAATACTTAAGCCTCGACATTTGGCTAAAAGAGGTCCAAACCTTTCAGTTATTTATGAGTAGGATCTGAGCGTGATATTTTTGGCTAAAATCTTGAGTTAGCCATTTTCAAAAATCTAAATTAAACAATTTAACAACACAAACAATGTCTAGCACGGCTAGAATTAATGATAAATCAGAAACATTTATATTTCGCTTTACATATTAAATAATGTTTCTGAATCTATAAAATATTTTTTCGTGATACTGATAAAAAAAATAATTTAATGATATACAACTATTTAAAAATCGGATTGCAAATCTTATATTGCTGATAGAATTCATCAGATATAGGGGTTTTCAAAAATACCATTTAAAAATTAAAAATATATACAAAAACAATGTAGAATATAAAATTTTATTGCGCAAATACTCGAGATATCCAAAAGAAAACGATGGTTTGCAACATTCAATTATTGAAATGCTATCTTTTGATATAAACCCCTTCCAAATCTAGAATGCTTTATAGCCTGATTTTAATAAGTACTCATTTATCGTAATCTTATATTTTATGTATCGTATCAATGTGCAAAATCTTCATACAAGAAGTTTAGAGAAATAAGTTTTGCAGATCTCTATAAACATTACTATTATATAATAATTTATCATTAAAATATCCTAAATGAAAACTAATTTTCCAGCTTTTCAAGACTAAGCCTGTTTCAAAATTTAAATTGGCTCAATTTAGAAGAGATTAATTCAGAATAATTTGTATATTTTAAAGTAATAGGTGGGTTTGACTAAATATTGCATAATTATATAATCTTTTTTTTTTAAAAAAAGAAAAAGAAATTTGCGCAAGCCTTGGACCTTGCCTTAACCAACACCTACTATAGGAAAAAAGACAGTCATTTAATAACATACGAAAGTGGTACCAGGAAAACACAGATAGATGACATGCTAATCTCTCGCAGAAGATTAAAATGTAATAGACTGCAAATTCATCCCAGGAAAAGATATCGCCGCACAACAGAAGCTACTAGTCATGGATTTACACATTTCAAATAAATCCACTCAAAACAAGATAAAACTGGAACCATGCATCAAATGGGGCAAATTAAAAACAATGACAGATGCCTTTGCAATCAATGCAAACATTGAAACAATAGATTCCTCACAAGTCAGTGAAAAAATGTAGACAGACCTTCCCTCAGATTAATAGACACTGCCAAATCAACACTAGGCTTGACAAGGGGAGGCAACAAATCATACAAAGAACTATGGTGGTGGAATGAAGAGGTACAAACTACTATAAAGGAGAAAAAAGCCCTATATAAAATATGGTTCAAATCCAAAAACTCAGATGACAAGACAAATTACAAAAAATCCAAGAGAATAGCTACAAAGGCGGTGGCTAGGGCCAAATCTATGGCATACGATGACATGTATGAGGAACTAGATAAAGAAGGGCAAAATAAAATATACAGATTAGCCAAACAGTGAGAAAAGAACTCTAGGGATATAAACGGAGCTCCGAAAGTAAATAAAGATGTAGAAATTGATAATAAAAGAAAAAAAAATAATGAATAGATGGAAAGAATATTTTCAGGAGCTTCTCAACTTTAATCCCCACATACTACATCTAGACGAACACTCCCCATGTCAAAACCTTGTACACTATAACAGAACAAGAAATAATCGCATGCTTCAAGCATATGAAAAACAACAAAGCTAGGGGTCCAGACGATATTCCAATAGAAAGCTTTAAGCACTAGGAGATGATGGAATACATCTTCTCACAAATCTGTACAATAATATACTTGGAAATGTAGAGGTTCCCCAAAAATGGAGGCAGAGCTATCTAGTTCCTATCTTCAAAAATAAAGGGGATCCATACAATTGTTAAAATTACAGGGGCATAAAACTAATATCACACTGTCTAAAACTATACGAAAAAATAATAGAAAAAAAGATTAAGAGACATAATCGAAATAGGGGAGACTCAGTTTGGCTTTATGCCTGGAAGATCAACAACCGATGCTATCCATGCAATTAGGCAAATGAGTGAAAAATACAGAGAAAAGAACAAAAAGCTACACATGGTCTTTCTCGATCTAGAAAAGGCCTTCGATAGAATCCCAAGAAAACTTATCTGGTGTGCGCTACGCCACAAAAAGGTTCCCGAAAAATATATAAGAATAATACAGGATATGTATATGGGCCATACAACAATGGTCCGTAGCACAACAGGTACTTCAGCAGGCTTCACAATAGCCGAAGGAGTTCATCAAGGGTCGGCTCTCAGCCCACTTCTCTTCATTACAGTAATAGATGTATTAACACAGTCTATACCTCAAACAGTCCCGTGCAGATGATATTGTGATACTTGTCTAATCCAAGGATGAAATGAAAAAAAAATCAGTGAGTTGGATAAATATCCTAGAAAAGCACGGACTAAAAGTAAATAGAGAAAAGAAGGAGTATATGGTAGGAGGAGATGAAGAGAGAATTGATATAAATGAATGGCAGATATCGGTAATTGAAAGCTGCCAATATTTGGGCTCCACTATACAAACAAACGGCACAATAGAAAAAGAGATAAAGAGTAAAATTAATCAAGGGTGGTTAAAGTGGAGATCTTTATCTGGAATTTGACAAAAAAATCTCACACAAATTAAAGGGAAAAATTTACAGTTTCATAGTACAACCAACTATTCTATATAGTTGGAAGCATGGCCAACCAAAGAATCAGACGAGAGAAGTCTACAAACTATGGAGATGAGAATGCTGAGGATGATTGCTGGGGTAACAAGAAAGGATAAAGTGCGCTATACAAGAATACTAAGTAGTTTAAAGGTAGTGCCCATTAAGACTAAGTTAATCGTAAACAGACTTAGGTGGTATGGGCACACAATGAGAAGGCCTATGAACTACATAGGAAATAAGGTTGAGTGGAAGTGATGGGCAAATGTAAAAGATGAAGTCCAAAACTTCAACCATAAAGTTAGAGCCAATATAAAGAAGTATAAATTAGATAAAAGAGATTGTATGAATAACATAAAGTGGAGAAAGATGTTAAAGGAGCTTACCACCAGAAAAGGAAGAGAAAAAAAAATATATAATCTTTTTTTAAATTTTCAAACATTTTTTAGAACATACTAATCAATATTTTATTAAATAAAAAATTGAGATTAAATATCAAATAATATATAATTTTATTTAATAATGGGAAAAAAATAATATCAAAATATAATTTTAGGAAATCCGAATGATTATTTTTTAGGGCCTTTTTATATTTGGAGTGTAAATACAAAATACCTAAAAATTTAAAAATAATGATAGGTTTTTTGACATTTAATTTTGAGTAGGTTTGCAATCGATAAAATAATAGAAATTTGTAAAGCACATATTTTTGGCGTTATTGATCAAAATCTCTTCATTTTTGTTTCCAATATTTATATTTACGTGTATAACATTGTCCTAAAAATATTTTGATTTGACGGATTGCCAAGCTCAAAATCGATAATTTATTAAATATTCAATTGACCAAATTTGTTAGTAATATCAATTAAAAAATGTTCATTTTTTATTTACATATCCATATTTGCGTGTAAAAAAAATATCTTGATGTAACCTATAACCGACCCTATTGATTAAATGCATTGCTGATGTTATCCATGGAAAAATCTTCATTTTTTTTACGCGTATAATTACGTATTAAACATTATTCTAAAAATAAATTTATATTTTCATATTTATCATTTATGCATTTAACGCCCTCTTATGGGTATTTAAATTTTAAAATTGAGAAATAAACATTGTAATAAGCTAGTAAATATTTAATTTTTTTCTTTAATATTAAATAAAAATAGAATTATATATTTTATGATATTTAAACTCAATTTTATATAATAAAAAATTGATTTAAGTATATTTTAAAAAAATGTTTATAAAAATTATTTTTGAAAAAAGATTTAATAAAATATTGATAATGCTGAACCGTAACCGTCCCTGCTTAAATGTTCAACGAAAATTGTTGCAATAATTCGGACTTTTTATAAATATATTTATTAATATTTTTTAAAAACAAAAAAGTCTTAACCTCATCCCTTTTCATTCATTATATGCCTTAATTTTATACTATTTACTTTTTTTAAAATCCCTTATTTTGAAATTTTTAAAACCAAAAAATATTTTTAAAGCGTACAAGTAATACATATTAAATATCTCTAAAAAATAAAATTTTACGGTGCCAGCCAGCATGCAATAAAATATAATTTAAGTTTTTTTAAAAAAAGATTCCAAATCCCCTTAAATATTTTTTTTAAAAAAATTTATTTTTTCGTAACCGAATGTAATTATTTTTTGAAGGAGTAAAAAGAATCTTTAGAAAAAAGGGTTAAACCGGTTCAGTAAATTTCTGTAGAAAGGGCTAAGTTCAGTTATTTTGAATCTTATATATTTTTTATATATATAATTCATAGATGCTCATAATATAAATAAATTTAAATGTTCAACGAAATTTGTTGCAATAATTCGGATTTTTTATTAATATATTGATATTTTTTAAAACAAAAAAGTCTTAACCTCATCCCTTTTCATTCATTATATATGCCTTAATTTTATACTATTTACTTTTTTTTAAATTCTCTTTTTAAATCCCTTATTTTGGCCTTTTAATTATATGGTGCCAGCCGCAAAAAAAAAGAAGAAAAAGTAATTAAATTATTTTATTTTTTTCAGGATTCGGATTATTTTTAAAATATTTTTTAAAAAAATATTTTATAAAAAAGGTCCCGAATAAAACGTGGGGATTCAAGATCTTGAATCCCCACTTTGGGATTCCGAATCCCACATGATTCCATATCCCAATACGACATATATATTAGACAAAATTTAATATCTATAAATATAAATAAATCGGATAACTTTTTTTCAATTTTTTTATAAATTTTACAGTCATTTTTTTCCTTTTTAATTTCAATTATAAAACAAATAAATATGGACCATACAATGTGATATTGCTTTTTAGCAATGCAGTATTTAGTCATACCAATTTTTATATTAATATCTATAAAATAATGGTAAATTAATTTAGGATTCAAAATAAGAATATGTTATGTATATTTAATGATATATTACAAATTACGTTTAGATTCGAGACATGTCCTCTAGACACTCTCTAAGCCTATCATGGTAGCCCATTACTATATTTTTTTCTTGTAGAGATTCCATCAGGTTTTACCAGCGTCTACATGACAGTATGCCAACCCCCTAAAAAAATTTCGTCACCTTCGGCGGCGATGTTTCCTTATTTTTAATTACACTTTTTGAATTATAATGATACTCTTTCCGATTTAAAAAGAATAACTTAGATTATTCTCTCTACTACCAACTATCAACATTTTGTGAATATAAAGGAGTTATTTAGATAATAAATTCAATTAAAACCCCCATCATTTACAATGAATTCATTATTATAGCATTATGAGCTTGCTGAAAATGTCTAAACCTTTAAAATTATATTTGAAAGGATAGCAGAAAGTTTTATTTGGAAAATAATGTCTAAAATTGTTAACAATATATAGATTTGGTTGATGAATTGTATTTATAATAGGTCTATAATGAAAATATTAATTTTTACAGCAATAAAATTTGTTCTATTTGATCTCAAAATTTAATAAATAACCCCCAAAAAAATTTATCCTACCCCCATTAAAACCGGATACCCACTAACCCCCCCTCAAAAAAATAGGATGCGAACGGTTCCTGCCCCCCGCCCCCGTTTATATAGACGCTTACAGCCTGCCCCATAGTAAATTTTACCAGGCATGACCTAGAAAATATATTTTATAAAAGTTGTTTAGATAAAGGAAAACAATGCAGCTTTAAAAACATTTATTTTTTGTGCTCGACCCGTCGTCCGAGCTGCCCTTACCTTTTCTTGTACTCTTTTCTATTTAGTCGATTGCGAAGACTTGGAAAAATATTAACTTGTTCTAGTCTGATTAGAATATTAACGTCTCAAAGATAGCTCACCTCCCAAGCGGATCTCTAGTCATATACGAATATCAAAAATTGCAAACTGTGCTTGAGAAAATCCACAGCATGTTAGGAGGATTCGCGAGTTGATACTTATCTGACTTTCACGGCACCAGCAAAGTCTCCATTTTATTATTTCACCTCCCTCAGGAGAGCAAACCGTTAGCAATTCATGAGTTAGATTTATTCAACCAAGATTTTTAAAATGAGTTTAAAGCTTATAATTAGGCATATGATTTATATCGTTATATATTACTGACAAGGCCGAAGACCTCTAAAGAATATTTTCTTGGGCTAGGCGCTGAATTCTATATACCCTGTGGTATATCAGTGGAAGGGATTCTTTAAATATCAAAAAGATATTTCTTATTAAATATACTTGATTGTATCATTAAACCATTTTATAAAAGTTACTTGAATAAGATTTGTATAATAGATTTCATTTATTTTCTTTATAACAT